GGTATTGGTATTTCAAGTGTTTGCAGTTTTTCATCAAGAAGGTCATGGTCGATTCAAGCGATCCTGATCCCGCAGTATTTCTTGAACATTGAACGAAATGGGTGCGCAGAGTCACTCGTAAAATATAAAAATAATTTAGCAGTTTACATTTATTTTCTTCTTTCAAAAATTGAATGCTTATTGTTTTTTAAAATGGAATCATGCGTTTTGATACCAAAAGAGTTGTCTTTAACCGGAATATCCTTACCAAATAAAAAAAAAGAATTTGTATTAACTGTGTGCGCAACTGCTAATATCAAAAAAGGAACTCTATTTTGTCCGTTTCAAGGTACTATTCGTACCGATAAAATTGAAAACTTAAAGCGTCCTGATGAAAATGATGTAAGTGCGCTTGTGCCAATTAATAATAATAATACATTTTAAAACAGTGTTGTTTAAAATTGGAAATTAAATTTAAATTAACAAACAAATTATTTAATCTTTATGGTATATAGCGCAGCGACTAGAATAAGGTTGATCAGCAAAGAGTGTACAGGTGCCAGAATTTCGGTCTCTAGTTGCAAAACATTGGAAGGTATGGTGACTTCCGATTTGAAACGCTCCTATTTAATGTGAAACTTTTGCCAAATTAATAAATGAGATCAACTATAGTTTATTTGATACATTTTCGTTTAACTAAAAATTTAGAAAATACTGTTTTACTTGGCTTGACACGCTAGAAATAAATAACAGTTAGAAGAGGAATTAGTAAGGTTTTTAGATTTCTGATGCGGAAGAGCTTAGTTGGTGTAGCCATACTCCCCTATCTGTATGCATAAACAGAACCTACAAGAGACTCGAAATTTGTTGTGTAAAATATTAAAAATTATAATTAAAGCTTGAAAAGGCTTTTAGTCGATAATAAAAAATGGAGTAGTTACCGATTTTTTGAAGCAAACGATATAAGGGCATTTTAAAAATCGAGTCTCTAGCTCTCATATCTATTGCGGTCGACGCGTTCAAACATACGGACAGACAGACATAACTAAATCGACTCATCTCGTCTCTGATAAGAATACGCCACACCTCCTTCTACGCGTTACATACATTTTCAATGGGTATAACCCTGCAAAAAGCTGATATTCTCATCATCCTGGGGGATGCAGTTTTTGAAGTGTTTCTCTATTTTCCACGCCCCTAGTAGGCGTAGACTCTTCATTTTCGGTCAGTTGGAATTTAGCGTAATAGTATTTTGGAAATTTACTCTAAAAAAAAGAAATACTCTTTCACATTCCATCAGCAATTTAGTAGCTAAGTTTAGCTTTAATATTGTAGAAAATTCAGTTTTTTGCCGATTGACCAAGCCTCTACTGACCTTAGACACTATTTTGGTCAGTTCTTAGAACGAGCTAACTGTAAACGCTAAACAAATGTGAAAATTACAGGCGTAATAATTATGTTTGAGTAGATAGGAGAGGAGGGCGGAAGTATATCTGCCATAACTACACAAAATTCCAGGTGTCTAGCGTCAATACTGCCCAGAATATAGCAGAATTTGAAAAATCACTATATCTTCAGGTCCGATTTTCCACGCCCTTACTGGGCCTAGTCATATAATATTTTTGATTTTTATAGAATCATAATATAATAAGCTCATGTGCAAAATTTTAGAGTTCTAGCTGTAAAACTCTAGGAGATACTGTTTTATCCGATTTGCCACACCCCCAATGGGCGTAGATATATCCGCCGTTGCTTGTTGACTTGGCTGGTCAACACGAATCTACATTCCAAATTTCAACGTTCTAGCTTTTCAGCTAATATGATTTCTGGCATATCGGAAAATGCATTTTTACAGACAGGGCTAAATCGACTCAGCTCATCGCCGAGATCAAGATTAAATATACTCTGTCACGCCTCCTTCTGCCTATTACATGCTTTTAACAAAATTATTATACCCTGATTTCCCATTTTCAGTGGGCTTAGGGTAAAAAAAAAAGAAAATGTGAATGGTTATTCTTTAGGCGGTGACGCCCGACTGCACCGTTCTTACTTGCTTAATTTGTGATTGACATAAATATCTTTTGAGTGATATCAAGCAGAATTTGAAACCACTGCTCTTCTATTAATATATTTTTCAGCATATCCTTGTATATTATAGTTAGTAGCCGCTTAATGGAGTAGCGAATTGTTGTCATCGCCAAAACCTAATTATACCCTGAACCCATTTTCAATGGCAAATCACGGTATAATGGTTTTGTTGAAATGTATCAGTTTCATGAAGATCGTAGGTCCACAAAAAAGTTATTAAACTATTAAGTTCTCATGTGTATATGTTTGTGCGTGTGCGTGTGTGCGTGTTTCTTGTGTAAGCAGAAAGACGCAAAAAATGATTGAAATAGCTATTGCTCGAAGGGTTCAGGGGATCTCGTAATCGAGCAGTCTCGACTAGAACTTTCTTACTTGTTTTCTGCAACTATTGTGCATATTGTCTTTTAAAGTTTATGGGTAAGCCTTGTCGTTCATTGTAGGCTCAATGATGACAAGTTTTCCTACTCTTCTTGATATCCTAATTGATGTTTGTGATTAAAAACGATTTCAAAATTCAGTTATACTATGTATATTTTCGGATTTTGCACTTACTTTCTCAAAAGAGTATAATTACTTCCTGAAAGTACTATAAATTATTATTATTTTTGTTTGCTAATACATATAAGTATTTGATTTTCAACTACGACTATTAAATTCCTGAATCTCAACGATAAAGTTAATTTAGAAATCAGAACTTCAGAAAATACCACAACGGTGATTATTATCACACCATCTACTATTTACCAGACATTGCTTCACATTAGAAGAATAATGTTCATGCATCGCCGCTTCGCAAAATAGTTTTATAAATATATGTATGTACATACATATGCATATACATACATATGTACAAATATATGTATGTATGTATTTTATGAATGAGCCTTCACAGGGCTGTGGTAAATAACTTCTGAAGCATTAAAGAAAACTGTGAGAACTTCTTTCAAATTCATTGTACCCATCTTTAAGAGTTCCCAACGTCATGGGAGAGTGATCACCCCATGAACTTTAAAAAAGAATGTTGATGCATATAATTCGATATATGTACTTAAATCTAAATTAACGTGTGTTCTTATGTACTTCTGATACATATACATACATATACATATGTATATATTTAGTTAGGAGCTAGGGATAAAAGTAAACAAAAATACTAAACTACCAAAATTTTAATTATTGGGATATTTAATGCGTTATAGGATGTCCTTTATTGTTTAAAACAGCTTTTAGTAGCTTTCGCATTGACAACACTAGTTTTCCTGAATAACCCTTTACGATTTTTGCTCTTTCTTTTACGATATCTAAAGGCATAGGTTTCGATTAAAATTTTAAAATAGTATGATCTTACCTGAAATGTTTTTCGAAATATACCAACAATATACTTTTAGATGTATATCAGGATTTTGGGAAGGTGTTTTAATGGGTGTGGTGTATTAAATGCATATTAGTTAAAGAAAGCTAAAATTTCCTATATATTCTCGAATTGACCACCCAAGACCAACAACACTAACCAGAGAACACATAGACTAGACATGTAGAACAAACTTTTTCCACACCGAAAAAATGCGCTGAAGAGACCGGACAACTTCGTATTTGGTCGGCTCGGTCTTCTGAGGCTCAAGCAGTGAAAATAAGGCATGGCAAAATCAGTGTGCTGCGACTGCTGCCAGACTGATAGAGCATAAAGAGAGGGAGAGAGTGAGGATGGGAAAAAGAGCGCATAGCCGTGCTTCATTTGGCAATGCGTACATTTCGTGGCAGCAGTCGCAGCACACTGATTTTGCCATGCCTTATTTTCACTGCTTGAGCCTCAGAAGACCGAGCCGACCAAATACGAAGTTGTCCGGTCTCTTCAGCGCATTTTTTCGGTGTTGAAAAAGTTTGTTCTACATCTCTAGTCTATGTGTTCTCTGGTTAGTGCCAACAAGTAAGAAGGCTCCAGTCGAGACTGCTCGACTAGGAGATACCCTGAACCCTCTAAGCTGATATTCTAATCATTTCTTCTATGTACACATACATAAACATGCAACCAGACGCGCGTATAACAACGCGCTCTGCTAACTGCGCAGTAAGCAGCGGCTGCGCTTGGGCTACGCTGCAGTGTGAGCAATATTATGAGAATGTACTTGTTCAATAAATACTTTTGTAGACATACAATCATAATGAAACTTTTAGAGCATAATCATATGGTGAAAATGTGTGTACATTCTCTAGTACTTTAAATGCGTTTTTTACAAATTGGGGGCGAAGGGGGCGTGGTATCCAAAATCTGTAAATTACAAAATCTTTGTATCCATTAACTTTATATACAACACAAATTTGAAGACTCCAGGTCTAAAAGTGTTCAAATTAGGCAGAAACAACAAAATGAATTTTTCGATTATTCTCGATAAAAAAGTTATCGGATGAGTTATCAAAAAAATAAAGCAAACTTGTACTGCGTATGGTATACACGAGTATGCATGCTCTAGCTCTTATAACTTCTGAGATCGGACGGGGGTCTGCGATGACTCCTTCTGCCCGTTACATACTTTTTCACAAAACCATTATACCCTGATTTTCCATTTTCAATGGGTTAAGGGTATAAAAATCTATGGCGGATATATCTACAGGAGCGGGGCAAATCTTAAACGTTTATATTTACCGCAGCTCTAAAGCTAGAATCTTCAAAAAATTTTTTAGAAACTGACCATAATTTATGTGTCTATGCTCAGTGGAGGCGGGACAAAGTTGGGAAAAGCTGAATTTTCTACAGTATTAAAGCTAAAAACTCAAAACTTAAAGACTAAATTGCGGTTAGCATCCTTTATTATCCTCTATTATGTTTTGGATACCGACTCCAATCTAACCGGTATTTGTGACTTTTCGACTAAAGTTTGCTTATCTGCTTCCCTTATTACGGTATTTACTCATCGTTAATTAAATATTTATACATATTTATATTATATTTTATAATATAAATATATTACACATATTCACTTTATTTTTCAGCTAAGATATCGGCACGGTTTATATCACGAAATTTCATACAATTATGGAAAGGCCGTTATTCATTGTAATTGGATAAGATTTCTTAAAATTGCTAGTTCATTCGACTCTACTGTAAATATAATCAGTTCGATGGTTAAAGGAGATCCATTGTATGAAGTTATAAAGCCAATAAAAATGTATGAAGAATTAGTTGCTTATTATATTCCGGAATCCCCCGAAGACAGTATATTTTTGACTGTGCGTTCCACGCTGTATAGAGAAGCAATGGACTCGATTTTAAAAGGTATTTACATAAATGGAAAATAAAAAATTGTCCTTAATTGCTATTCTATTTTTCCAGATACTCCCCTTGATTTGTCACTAGCATTAATGCATAAAACACCAGATTTGCCACTATCTCCTCCAGTCAGTGAGGACGAACAAAAGTCAACCTTGAGTGACTCCTCTGGTTCTTTATTATCACTTAATGACAGCACAATTGACAACTCAACTGCTTCTTCATCTACGTCGATGGACGAAATAAATAAATATGCATTAAAAAATATTACTACAATCTCATCTAAAAATAAAATTAACTTTAAAACCTACCAATACGGATCAGTGAAAAAACGAACGGGTAAAAACGAAAGACCCTTACTTCCCTGTGAAGTCTGCAGAAAAGCATTTGATAGGCCTAGTCTATTAAAGAGACATATGAGAACACATACAGGTAATTTTGTTTTATATATGTATATATTGGGTAATTAAAATTGAGTACTCTAATCGATCAATTCATATCTGTAATAATCCGATTGAGAAATGTTTGCTGTTTCGAAGTAAATTTGATTTTTACACCCTGAACCCATTGAAAATGGGAAGTCAGGGTATAATGGCTTTGTTAAAACTATGTAACAGGCAGAAGGAGGCGTGGCAGACCTCATAAAGTATATATATTCTTGATCAGGGTGACGAGCTGAGTCGATTTGGCCCTGTCCGTCTATCTGTCCGTCCGTCCGTCCCTCCGTCCGCCCTTCCGTCCGTCCGTTCTTCCGTATGTATGAACGCGTCGATCTCAGAAGATATAAGAGCTAGAGACTTGAATAATTTGTGCTAAGTCCGAGTATATCACGCGCATATCGAGTTTTTCTCCCAAAATCGATAACAACTCCAGATATTTTGTTATCGATTAATAACCTTATCGAATTAATTCATTATATCACCTACACCTTTAAAACTAGAGTTTATAAATTTTAAATGTAGAGTCATATGTATTTTATAGAATTTTTATTTTGTTGTAATTTACCCCTATCCGTATACCCACCCCCTCATCCACATATTTGTAAAAGGCGTATATCAATAAATATTATAATCATGATCTGAAAGTTTCGTAAACATAGTCCAACGACAAGAAAAGTAATTAAACAATTAAGCTCCCATAGTAAGCCCACACTGCAGCCCATGCGTATGGGAGTATGTTGCTGCCTTTTTCAGTGGGCCCTCATCCACATATTTGTAAAAGGCGTATATCAAATATTAGAGACCTGTGCTTTGGTACATGCACACAGTTAATATTATAATCAAGATCTGAAAGTTTCGTAAAAATAGTCCAACGACAAGAAAAGTAATTAAACAATTAAGCTGCCATAGTAAGCCCACACTGCAGTCCATGCCTGTTTATGCGCGCATGCCTATGTTTGTCTGGGAGTATGCAGTTGCCTTTTTCATTGGGCCTAATATCACACAGCCCAGCATTTGAAAACTCGTAGTCACCTGCAGCAAATTTTTTTTGCGCCGATTTTAACAAAAATTAAAATTCAGTTAAGTTTACACATATTAATCTACATTTAACAAGTAAGAATGCTCTAGTCGAGACTGCTCGACTACGAGATCCCCTGGACCTTTCGAGCAATAGCTATTTCAATCATTTTTTGCGTCACACACACACACACACACGCATACACACACACATATATATATATATATACTCACACATACACACACACATACACGCACACAAGCACCCACGCCTAAACACGCATGGGCTGAAGTGAGAGCTTACTATGAGAACTTAATTGTTAATTGTTGACATACGATCTTCATGAAACTTTCACATTATACTTATAACATGGATCTGCATGCATTTGTCCAAGCACAAGTCTCTAGTATTTGAAATACGTCTTTTACAAATATGTGGGTGAGGGGGTGAATATAGAGGTGGGGGGTAAATTTTAACAAAACCCGAAATTGCATAAATTGCATATAAATCTATATTAAAAATTGGGAGACTTTAGCTTTAAAGTTATAGGAGATATTATTTTTTAACTGGTTTTCGATAAGGTTTTTTATCGATAAAAAATAACAGGATGAATTATCGGTTTTTAGTGATAAACTCGATATCCGCGCTGTAAATACGGATAGAAGAAGTCTCTAGCTCTTATATCTTCTGAAATCGACGCGTTCATACATACGGACGGACGGACAAAGCTAAATCAGCTCAGCTCGTCCCCTCATCAAGAATACATATACTTTATGGGGTCTGTCACGCCTCCCTCTGCCTGTTACATACATTTCATCAAGACCATTATATTTGATGTGTTACCATTTGTTTTTATTAATTTAAAGCACATATTACATTTGGCGTGGTAAATCGGAAAATGCATTTTTCGATGTGCCAGAAATCATATTATTTGAAGGGCTAGAAAGCTGAAATTTTGAATAAAGATCCGCGTCGACCACCGAAGATCACGAGCTATGGCGGATATATTTACGCGGATATATTACGCGTGGCAAATCGGATAAAACTGTATCTCCAAGAGTTTTACAGCTAGAACGCTGAAATTTTGCTAGTAAGCTAATGTTATGATTTTATAAAGATTAATAAAAACAAGTAAGAACGTTGCAGTCGGGCGATACCGATTGTAGAATACTCATTCACAGCCCAAACGCTGTCAACCAAAGTATATAGTGCAATTCTCAAGTCTAGTGCGTAACAAAAAATGGGGCATGATCCCAGGAGGTTCGAAATCTCATCGATGTTATTTTTTTTATACCCTGAACCCATTGAAAATGGGAAATCAGGGTATATGGGTTTTGTGAAAAATTATGTAACGGGCAGAAGAAGGCGTGGCAGACCCTATAAAGTAAATATTCTTGATCAGCATGACGAACTGAGTCGATATAGCCTTGTCCGTCTGTCCGTCCGTCCGTATGAGTGCGTCGATCTCAAAAGTTATAAGAGCAAGAGAGCTGAAATTTGGAATGCATACTCGTGTGTACCATGTATGTCTACAAAAGAAATTATTAAACAAATAAATTCGCATAATATTGCCCACACTGCAGCGCAGCCCACGCGCAGTCGCTGCTAACTGCTCAGTCAGCTGAGCGCGTCATTATACGTGCGTATGCATGTTTGCATAAAAGGAGTGCAGAATGAGTGGAATATCAGCTTGAAGGCTTCAGGGTATCTCCCAGTCGAGCAGTCTCGACTAGAGCCTTCTTACTTGTTTTTATACCCTGAACCCATTATCAATGGGAAATCAGGGTATAATGGTTTTGTTGAAATGTATGTAACAGGTAGAAGGAGGCGTGTCAGACCCCACAAAGTATATATATATTCTTGATGAGGGCGACGAGCTGAGTCGATTTAGCTCTGCTTGTCTGTCTGTCCGTATGTATGAACGCGTCGATTTCAGAAAATATAAGAGCTAGAGACTTCTTCTGTCCGTATTTACAGCGCGAATATCGAGTTTATCACTAAAAATCGATAATTCATCCTGTTATTTTTTATCGATAAAAAACCTTATCGAAAACCAGTTATAAAATTATATCTCCTACACCTTTATTGCTAGAGTCTTCAAATTTTTAATGTATGCTTATATACAATTTATACAATTTCGGTTTTTGTTGAAATTTACCCCCACTCCTATATCCACCCCCTCACCATCAAAAATGTAAAAGGCGTATTTAATATTACTAGACACTTGTGGTTTGGCAAGTGCACTCATATTATTGTTATAATTAAGATCTGAAAATTCATGAAAATCGTATGTCCACGAAAAAAAACTATTAAACAATTAAGTTCTCGTGCGTTTTTATGCGTGTGTGTGTGTATGCGGGTGTGTGCCTGTGTGCGTGTGTGTGTGCGTGTGTGCGGGATCTCGTAGTCGAGCAATCTCGACTAGAGCTTTCTTACTTGTTCATACATATTTAGTTTTTTATAAAATAGATATTTTATTGGGAAGGTGCGAGCTTGAATGAATGGCACTTAATACCTTTGTGTTTCTTAGTCGAATAATTTTATAAGTTTAAGTTTGTTTGTTGAGTTTGAGATCGCATGCACTCAATATCTCACATCTCCCTGTCTTTAGTAAAAAGAATGAAAATAAATAAGACGTAAGGAGCAATACAACAGTTAACCAAATAATTTCGGCGTCGAGGCACTCGAGTTTTTGAATGCATATATCTTCGTGTCAACATTTCGTATTTGCTCGGCTCCGTCGCTTGAGGCTCGAGCAGTGAAAGAATCTCACGCCTAGATTAGTGCGCTTCGAGCGTTCAAGCTTAAAGCACGCATTTTAATAAGAAGCCTGATCGTGCGCTTATTATTTCTTACTCTGTCTCTTTCTATGCCCTGTCCATTTAGAGGGTATATGAAGCTCTTGAAAGGGGTTTGCCATGCACATATAAAACGTTAGCGGTTTCATGACATTATATTATATAGCTACTAATCCTGACAACTTGAAAAATTGATTCTAAATTTCAATATTAATTAAATATATACTGTGAAGTATCACATTTTTCAGGGCCGTATTACGCCCCAGTAATAGAATAGCTTTAAGTACCTTTGTTAGAATTAAGAGAAATCATGAAATCATAACATATAATTTAAGCAAAGTAGATATACCCATTTAATTCATATAGTGCAGGGTAGCAACAGGCGACGCAACAGCGGACGACGCAACGACAACACGGACGAGGAGAGAGAACAACGGAGGAAGTCTAACGGCGCTCAGCTAGCGCACAGTCTGCATGGCGACAGCAACAATAACAACGGCGAGTAACGAAACGGCGCAGCATCGGACAATAACAATGCCAAACGGACAGCAACAAAAAACGACGCATAAAAATCAAAACGGCAACCGAGTACAGTCTACACCACGAAACACCGATAGCGCGCAGCAAAGCGTAGACGACTCAACACAGCGGCGCATAGCTGCGCGAAGAGCCAAAAGCTTTCGCACTTCAAAAAACACATACCACGCAATGCAGCGACGCAGCGTTGAGAGTGCAGAGCGACGCTAAGAGTAAAATGCTCTCGCACAATAGAATGCAATGTAGAAACGCATAAGCGCATGCAAAAGCCGCAGTGTTCTAAGCCGGAGGCGCAGCGCTAAGCGCAAAATTAGAACTCGATGACTTATTCTTGGACTCTTGAAACGAATAGACGTACCCACCGGACAGAACGACTTCGACATGACAGCCGACGAATTTTCATAGGACACGTGTTTTCTTTTCTTAGTGGGGGCGAGTGCCGGGTCAATGAGTTTTAAGCTAGTTTATTATTAGTGAAGTGAACGAAATAAAGGCTTAATCGAAGAAAATTCCAACTGACTGTAAAATATCGCGACGTGGGCCAGAGTTGCCAGTTTCGAGGTTGAGTGCACGGTAGTCACCACACGAGACTCAGAGCGTTATACACTGGTCGGCCGCCGGCTATTCTGGGACACAAGT